TTTCTTTATAAACTCATCAATTTGTTCTGTTGTCCTTGACGCTCCTTAAATATATTGAGAAATCTATTTGAATGAGTGTTAAATAATGGACTTTTACCGTTGGCTATATCTTTAAGCTCATTTTTTAAAAGGTCTAATTTTAAATTTATCTTTAAGTATACTATGTTTCGCATACTGAAGAAGCGCCATGAGATAACCAAAATATTGGAGCAGCTTTAAGTAACTTCACTGGTTTTAAACCGTCAGCATTTTGTGCTGCAATATTGAGGCCTTTATGCTGGAATATCTCATGGCTTTCCAAATTACCAAAATATTAGCATGAATGCTAACTAGGATATCAAATTCTTTCATTAAATGTACGCATACAAGAGCTAAACAATGACAAGGACAGTTAATGTACATTGAGTAGGGGGAAATTTTTTTGAGCTAGTAAGCTTAGTTGCTGGATATTTATCGATTTAGATTTTAAAACTTTTGTACTTGTTTACATAAGATTTGCGAAAATAACTTCTTCCTGCGCATCTTTTCTTCCAATAACTTGGACTAAACCAAGAAGTAATTCTTCAATAGTATGAGAATCAGAATCAACATATCTAATAAAAAAAGAAAAGACAGTCCTACCAGCTATGCCACTCGTCTCATCAGCAAGAACACTTAAGTTATAGACCAAAATAACTTTTGTGTAAACCTTGTCTAAACTTGTCTAATTTATCACTTATTATTTTGAAGAACTAATCAACAATAGTTGCTGATGTGTATGTCGCTCATTTGCTAGCAATTTTAAAGTATGAATCTATATCCTTATCTCGAATAAATTCAACAATATCATTAAAGTTTTCCCGGACTGCCCAGTTCTTTTTATTTACAAAGTAAACAGTTTTGAAAAACTTTTTTATGACGTTACAGTTGCGCTATTCACCCACAATTCTGTATTGCGAGCTGCCATCAAACATCTGATTGTATAGAGTTCCTTTGGTTGAAAGTATCTTTTTGACCTGTTAACATTTTTTGACAGCATCCTGGTGTCTCTTTGAAATTTGATGTGCAATAAATGTTCTATGTGGATGTTCAAAAAGCTTTGCACCTTTAGTTCTCCACACTTCTCCGATATCTCCATATTCTTTACAAAAACTACATAACCAGCCTTGATCTTTTGCAGAATAAATAGCAAATGGAAATTTTGTTTCCTATTTTTGCTGAGAATGGTGACTTATCATATACAAAAGTCCATTTAGTAAATGTTTGATGTTATTAGGGATAACGCTTTTGCTTGATTGATGGCCGATAATAATTTTGCTTTCGTTTGTTCTTATTTCAGGAATTAACTGCTGATCTACCTGTTCTTGAACTTGTTTGTGTCTTTTGTAGTTTGGTTAACAGCAAATGCTTTAAAAATTAACTTTTGTCCAGAATTTGCATTCTAATTTTTACTGTGCAAAGATCAAATTTTTGTTGTGGCTTCTACAAGATGTCTTTGGTCAACCCATATTACATCAGTTAAACATATTATATAAACTTTTGCGAACAAATTTTAGTAATTAAAGTTTATAAAAACATAAAACGCAGAGTTATATAGCATAGCAAGGTCATTAATTTATTATTAAGTTAATAATTTTTTTCTTCTTCTTCTCTTATTTTTTAAATCAAGTTTTTTGGCGTGATTATGTTATTACGTTTTAAAAAAGTTTTATTCATTTTATTAATCAAAGCTGTTTATTTACATTTTTATTGCAGCTTTTTTATTATTTAAAATGAGAAAGTTTAAAGCTTATAGAGTTTAATTGGATTGTAAATTATAGTTATGAAAATGTAAGCGCAGGCGAAACTCATATTAAATATACTTTGATTTTGATTAATGTTTTTATTAAAGGAATTATAAAAATATAAAATGCTAAGCATTTCTTATTATTATCCAATCAAAACGTACATTTTAAATTTTAATCCAATAGTAACATATTCCACAACTTATCCACGTGAATTCGAATTAAGCATTCTGATTGACTTAAGATACATTTTTAATCGTAATTATAATAACAAATTTTAATACTACAAAATAGCACAAGTAATAATTTTTTTATTAAATTATTTTAACACAAACTTGATGCTTATATAAAATTGTTTTAAATTGTGTTTGGGTTGAAATTTGGGGGCCCATACCAGTATACTGATATCAAAATCAGCCTGGATAAGTCGCTAATATATGGCTATTTCTACAATAAGAGATAAATTTTGTGTTAAAAATTTTTTTTCTTTAATTACATCTTGTTTAAACATCTTGAAATTTCTGTTAAAATAAATTTTGAGTAGAAAATATTTGAACCAAGTAGATAAATTTGTTAAACGTTGGCAGTTGCTTTCTCATTTTGTTATTTAAAGTAAGTAAATTTAATGGCAAGTTTTTGCAATATTTTAAACAAAACATCCATATTTTTTATTAAAAAAGGTTTTACAAGATTAAATACTTGAGTAAAAAACTTTTGGACTTGAAAATCTTTTTTTTTTGCTTTTTTTGTCACATAAATGTCTGTAAAAATTAGGATACAGCACTGAACTTATAGATGAACAAGTTTAATTATCAATATAAAATTAGAGCATGATTATTTTAGAAATTCTATAATATATTTTAAGTTTGCTATCTCTATTTTAAAAAAAAAATTGTTAAAATATTAACACACAGTTTAAAAGCTGTTGTGTAACTGAACATACCAACACGGTATTTAAAAATAGAGTGGTAATAATTAAAAAATGTAACATTTAAAAGTTCAGATTTCTTTGTTTTTAGTTGAATAAATTTTGATACTATGAAGTGGTATCAGTAAATATTTGCAAAATATAGGGTTATTGCTTGCTCTGCTAAAGCAAAAGAGTTGTAAAAAGTTGCGCATTTAAAAGAAAACTTATTAATCAATCTTGAAGACTAAGCTCATCTCTTAAAAACATTCAACAAAATAGAAAAGTATTGAAAAAAGTTTTAGAAGCATAACTAGGTTCAAAGGAAAAACAGGTTGAAGTTTTGAACTTGGACTTCAAATTTAAGTTATTTCAGAAGATATATCAAAATAGCATTATTTTTATGTTAAGAATGATAATGTTGTTCCTTTGCTATTTTCACTTGACTACATTTTAAAATATATTACAAACCAACAAAATTTTTAAAATATGATTTTAATTCTATTCTATGGCTATTTCCATAGTTCTGTAATGTATCATGCCAAGAGATTTATTCTAAAAAAAGTGTTTCTACTGCTCAATAAATTTTTTTTATTACTATGAAATAATTTTGAACTAAAGTTTTATAAGTTAAACACAACTTTATAATCATAACACTGAAGATAAAAATTTTATAATATAAGCTAAATACAATTCTATTGTCTTAACGCTGACATAAAACAAAAAATAAAATATTAGCTCAGTGACACACTTCAGAAAAAAGTGTTTTTTTATCAGCATATTTTCAAATGGCATTTTCTCTAAAATTTCGCTTTTTTCTAGGCTGATTAGATTTAGTTGTGTCATTTAATCATTTGGCAATCAAACAACCATATAAGCAATTTAGACAACAAAAAATAACTATGACCAGATTATTTAAAAAATAAAAACACACTGTTAAACTTTAAGATCTGTTGAGTCTGGAACTTTTTTTGAAGTTTAAAACTTCAAAAAAAGAAAATTTGTTCACAACATTTTTAATGCTATAAAAAAAATTGCTCCGATAAATATTTAATGAGATTGGAATAAACATTTCCAAATATGTCTTTTACTCTTTTTGTGGACTTCTTAAACAGATTCAGCTGTGCTTTATGCTGCTGGTATACCTACCCATTAAGCATTCTATGTTGCATGAGGTGTAATCTGTGAAATGGACCAACACCATTTTAACTAAAACATACCCAAACCATTAACTCCTACATGCTTTACAATAGGCAGTTAAGGCAGATCCTAAATATCATTGGATTTATGGTATTTAAATTCATATCGCCTACCTAATATGTATCGAACATACCTGATCTAAACAGCTTAAACTTGTTTTTGTGACTTTTTTTGTAATTTGGTTTTTCAAGGAAATCAATAGCATTTTAGCTGGTTATCTTCCAAATAAATTGGCATGATGTAAATGATGCTTTGTAGTAGAAATACTACATTCATACCATAGAATCATCTCAATCGTACATTTAAATCGAGATCTGTCAAATAAGGATTTTCTTTGCTTAGTATTACAAACTGGTTGCTTTCAATTATTTGTAGATCTTGTAAGTTTAAATATCTTCATAGATTGTCCAACAGCAGACTTACTGACTCCATAAAGATTCTTACAAAATAAATTACAATTTTGAACTGATCTCACAATTAACTCATTCACTAAAGATGAGATAAATTACAAAAACAAAGATTTAATAAACCTGATCAATCTGTTATAAATAAAGCTTTTTAATAATATCAACAAAGCATTTGTTTATCGTTAAGTTTATAATTATTTGGGAAAAAAGCATGTATGCAAAATTTTGAACTCAACAATTATTTATTTTTTAATCAATTAAAATCAATTAAAGTAATCAATTAAATAATAAAACATTTGTTTAAGACATAATAATAAACATGAAAATATTTAATTTTAATACTTTGTTGGCTTTAGTAAAGTATGTGCTGAAATATTAGGGTAAGTCAAGTTATTTAGTCTGTTCACAATTTTTGGACACTACTGTGCATGTATATCTTTAGTATTTCAACAAATTTACAATACCAAACAAAGACCCTAGCATAATTTTATCACATCTAATGTTTAAAGTTGATCAAATCAAGTTTACGTTATGTAAAACCATTAAAACAATTAAAAAAACTGATAAAATTTCAAAAATATTTTAAAAACCTTAAAAGCACAACTTAATAGGCTAAAATGTTGTTGTTTTTTTTAATTCACACAAACACACATGAACACACACACACACAAACAAAAAAAATATATATATATATATAATATAGTAAAAATTAAGCTCCCTTACCTCCCTCCTTTTATGTCAGTGACATTTTCTTCATCATTAGCAATTTCTGGGCATACAAAGTTGAATTCTTTAGCTGCAGAAGTCAATGCAAGTATACTAAAAGAAATATCATTTTTGCAAGTATAATAGATAAGTACTAAAAGATAATCATTTTTCTAATTAAATCAAACATAAAGTAAAAAGTTTCAAGATATTTTATTAATGTTTAATAAAAATAATATAACGAAAAGAAACATAACATTTTCACAGAGACATTTTATGTTCGATATTTTTTATGCAACAAATAACAAAATAATTAGCATTATTGGGCTAAACAACCAATAAGATTATTTGGAAACAAACTGTAAAGAATGCTTAGAGCTTTTACAGCATTAGTTAAAAAGTAATACAGATCCTTCTCTTTTCCATTTACCAGTAATGAAATTGGTTCCAGTTGCCGATTTTCTGGCAATAAAATAGATGCCAGTAATGCTTAAATTCCTTTGAGATACCACCTACCATTAATAATTGAATACTGCCTACCATTACTAACAGAATATCATCTGTCATTAATAATATTTAAAAGAGCCTAAAAAATTAATTTTTTTTTTGTTAAAATTAACTTACAAATTCCTTAACTTTTTTTTTAAATATACTAAAACACCATCTTTTGTCAAATAGTGTTTTAAAACAACTGATGCAGTTTTTGCAAATGCAAGCTTTTCTTTTTCTTTTAGGTCTATTGAAATTACTAGTTGATGGGATATAACTATCATCAGTCTCTCTTTGAATTTCACCATAGTCAAAGATTTCTTCTCAGTTTAAAGTTTAAAATGTCATTACATTTTAAAAATGATATCAGGCAAAATGACCACCTTGGGCTTTTTTACACATTTTTTTACTTTTTACGAAATTTTCAAATATTTTGCTTTACAAACCCCTAAATGAAAGAATTTAAATCACAATAATAATTAAAAGTTAGTCTTGGTGACCAAAAGACATTACCATTACGTAAAATAATACAACCTAAAAACTTTTATCTCAATTAAGTCATTGTTCTTTGTGTGGTATCATCCTGCTGTAAAAATGTGCTTTCAAGGTCTGATCACCTAAAATAGTCCATAAGAAGTTTTCCAGTATATTTGATGGCAATTGCCATTTACTGTAACTGTTTGCCTGGCATAATTTTCAACAAAATACGGACTAATTATATCTTTGGCTGATAAAGCACACTAGACAATCAATTATTTTGGATGAAGTTTATTTTTTGTAGGTTATAAGCATCATAACTGAAAATGATGTCTGAAGTGAAATTGGGATCAACTTCCAGTTGCTCATAAATCCAATTAATGAATATTTGACACTTGTGATGGTCTGTTTCAAAAAGATCTTAACTTAACTGATTCGTTGTAAAACAAGGTCCTGTTATTCCTTTTATTGAAATTACAGATAAGTTGCAGTAACTGATAACTAAATAATTTTTTTAAGTGATGAACTTTGTTCAACACTCAATATTTGCTAATGAACAAACAAATTTGGCAATATTTGCTAATGAAAAACTGGATGTAGACAAATTAGTCTCTTTAAAGGGATCCCCAACTGCCGAGACAAGTTGTGTTCATATTAAAGAAAATGTTTAAAAAAAACATTTGGGCTAAATTTTTTTGATTGAAACTAAATAATGAATGCATACCAACAAAATTAAAATTCATGTTTTAGTCAAAGCTTGTCGCCTCAATCTACAGACTTGATAATTTATTCCATGCGTGTTAATTCATAACAGTTTCGATATATGATGTTATAGCAATATCTTTTCAAGATAGCGCTTTTTTGTTGCTGCTTTTTTAAAGATTTAAGTATTTTTTTATTACAATCAAAAAATCAAATATTTGTATATTTTTTTACTAAATCACAAAAAATATTTGTGATTTAGTAAAAAAACATACAAATATATATATTTTTATATTTAGAACTTTTTTTTTACTTGCTTTATTATTACTTTTTAGAAGCCAGCCAAAATCATGACACAATTATACATATTTTGTGATTATTAGAGTTTGCAGGCAAAGAAAAAATAAAGGCAGTATGATGTGGTTTCTGGTTTTATATTTAGTTCGTATCGTTTAATAGAGTTGTTCCTTTTGTTTAATTTACTTTTAGTTATGGTTTAACTCTTTCACTACCGCAAGCCATTGGTAGCGGCTTTCGAGTATGCTTTAAAATCTATCTTGTTTTGTACATAAATTTCCATTCTAGACACAGAATTTGTTTGTTCTAAAGGTTTAATTAATTCTCTACATAATCAAGAAAAAATAAGAGCTATATTATGTAATTATAAAAAGTTATCACAAAATTAAAAAATCTTGAATAATCCTTCTTAAAAAAACTTCCTTAAATTTAGTTATAAAATAAAACAACGTTAACACTGTAAATCAGTACTGAACCACTAGATTCAAACTTTTAAACAACAGTCAAACATGTGTTTCTATTCAGGGCAGAGTGTAGACACCTTTTAATTTTTACCATTCACAAATTACATGTCACAGACAGCTCTTTTTTATAATACAGTTTTACAAGCTGTATCCATTTTATAGTTTTGAGACAACATTATTAAATGGCATATAAATAATTTTTATCTGAAAAAAAAACAAATTGGCCAACTAAAAAAATGCCATGCAAAAAACATTACCTAGGTTAAAATGATGTACCCTGTATTTCATTATAATTGCTGATACTGATTACCTGTATCTTCTGTTCTCTGTGGTATTTATTCCCCAACTTTTCTTGAAAATGATTTTTTTTTATGGCTAGCAAAAACAGTTTGTTTCATAACAAAATTAATTTACAACCAATAACCTTGCATCTTCCAAAAACAGATTTCTCTAAAGAGGTCAGTGAACCCCCCAAAACAACTAATGCATTTGAAATTCATTAGCTTGTTTAGTGGTTCTTTTATTTTATCGATTTCTGACTATAAACTGAAAAATGCAAAATTAAAAAATGCGTCAAAAGTAAAAACAAATTAACTTTTTATAAAAGTTAATTTTAAAATCTATTAAGGACATTTTTAAAACTAATCATCTAGTTTTATATAATTTCAAAGTCAATAAAAAAAGTTTTATCTCTAAATGTTAAAAAAAATTTGAAACTTAAATATGTTATCACTCTAATATGTATAAAATTTTGAATTATACCAGTCTAGTTCAGCAGAGACTTCAACCACATTAATAAGTGTGCCAGTGTGTTCGAGGATAACATCTTGAAGACGATGCATTATTGTTGTCTCATGGTCTGAAAAGTTATTGTTAAATAATTTCAAATTTAATTTTCAACCTTGATTACTTTACTATTTAACTATTTTTTTATTGAAAATAAGAGAGCAATCAAAAGTATAGTATAATATTTAAAAATTGCATTAAGAAAAAAAAAATTAATTACTTAATATCAAGGTAATAACCCAACTTGGGGGTTTACAGATGTTTTACCGTTAAAAAATATTCTAAACCAAATGTGCAATGACAGAATTGAGAAAATTATGAAAATAGTATTATACTCTGAATAATATTTGATTAGCCGACTTAGACGCTTAAACCTAAAAATATGCGCAAAGAAGTGCTGATGTGCACGCGGTTAAATTTTAAAATATGTATTTCCTATTTAACCTTTATTGTTTAATTATATCTTAACAGGTTTTTGATATATAAAAAGGCTGATGATGACTTTTTAAATATAAATAGTTTTTTATTAGTTTTATATAATTTTATGGTAGATGTTCGATTACGTTTTATATCAGTCTAATTATTTAGTATAGTGTTCTTGTCTGGTGGTAATATTTAAATGATTACAGGTTAAGATTTTATTAATTTTATTATACTTTCAAAAACTGTTTTTTTAATTTTTAGTGCCATAGCTAATTACAAGTTGACGGTGTTAATTAGTTCAAAATTTATTTTTACTTTTGGTTTAATAGTTTGTATTTATCTTCATGTTTTAAACTTTTGAAAAATATTTATAAAACTTTACTGTACATTTATATTTAAAAACTAATTTTTATAGTAAATAAAAGCAAAAGGTTTAACATTAAACAACATTTAAAAAAATTTATTTTAAATGCAATTCACTTTTTATTAAAAAAAAAAAATGTTTTTTTAGTGAGACGAAATTGTGAGACATTTATATAAATTGGCTTTTATAAAAAAAAGAAAATTTATATAATTTTAAAAATTGATAGTGAAAACTTTCATTTAATTTTTAGTTCTAGAAGATAAAGAATCTTAGAATAGATAAAGAATTGAATAGATAAAGAATTGAATTTTTATGTATGATTTGTCAGTTGCATTCCATGCAGATGTGATGAATGATTTAAAGTCAGCTAGTAAACTGTATTGTTTGCCACCTTCAAACACTATATGTGAAAGCTGTCCCAAAGCATTTTCAATAATATTCAGTTCTGGGGATCCAGCTGGATTTCACTGTTGTTGAAATAATTCATTACTATCATAGCTTTATGAACGTTAGCATTATCTTGGTGAAAAACAAAATTCTCACCACTAATAACAGATGCTTCACGCTGTAAAAATTTTCAAACAAAATAAAATCTTTAGCCTTAATTATATGCCAACAAAATGAACTTCTGATTTACTGAACTTCTGATACCCTATCCCATACTAAATCATTATACCACCACCACCCATTGCTGTGCTAATGTTTCTATTCACAAATTGTGAAAATAATAATCCAGCCTAACTATTTTAATTATCCAGCTCATTTTTTGTCAGAAATTACGACTTATTGCTACTTTTCATGTTTCCATGATTCTTTGCTAAATTTATTTGATTGTTTTTTTGTTTTATTGTCAATTGTGATTTTCACTGAAGGTTTTTGCGGGAAAGTGAAAAGCATTTTGAAAACTTGCTGAATTGTCCATAAATTAGCAATTACATCTACTTCTGATGTGCAATTAATGAAGAATTTGAGGCTTGTCTCAACAACTTTTATCTATCACAGACACTTAATGTTGACGGACACCTGGGACATTTTTTTATTTAATACATATGAGAACTATTAATGTAGTTAACAATCACAGTTCCAATATGCCCAGCGTCACATATAACTAATGGAAAAAACCATTTTCTCTAAATTAGAGAGCTTTTTTTTTAAACTTTATTCAACAGTGCAGCACAACCCATTATTATCTAATTTGTTATTATATACTTATCGAAAAAAAGCTACAATATACTTTTGACAGTTCACAACAGTTTACAGTTAAATTAATGTATGTGGTGTTTAAATATGATCCAAGCAATATTGTTTGGGCCATATTGCAGTTGCATATACATTTTTTTATTTTTTTCTTCTTTTTACACACATTACGACATCAACATCACAAAAAGTTAGTACAGATAATAGTCTAGAATATATAAATAGATAAATATCTAAAACATCAAGTTTAGTTTGATTAGGAAATTAAGCTTAATGTTAGATTCTTTTTCCTTATAGTATAATTAACCCTATAAATATCTCTTGTATATTTCATTTTTTATCAATAAATGTTTAGAATGTCTAATAAGCATGTGAGTAAATAATTATCTAAGCAAAATTTATTTAGCTAGACTTTTTTATTGCTTTTATTAGAAGGATCATTTACTAATAAAAAATTTTTGTTTACAAAAAATATAAAATATATTTTGTTCACAAATTTAAAAACTAAATTTAATTTTTTTTAATTTCTATAAATTTATCTTTATAATCAGAAGACGATTATTATCAGAAGATGATTATTTCATGTTTAACTGCAAAGATTATGCATTACATTGTCTACTTTTTGTTGTTACTTTATTTTAACAGTTCTACCTTGGTTTTCTACCAACTATCATTATTTTACTTTTTAAATTTGAAAATTACTGTTGATCGTTAGCTAATAATTTAAAAAAATATACTTTTTGTTTTTGCTAATTTATTGTCTTTACAATGTCTTTGCTTGTTTTAAAAAGCAAGAATTGACTGACATTTTAAAATGCTCTGCTTTTTAAAACTGACTGGTCTTAACTCTGTTTTAGAAAATAATCTAATGCACTCTTAAAATGATTGAGTTATTCTAGTTTGATGAGAATTCACAAAATCTTGTCCATTAATAAAATGATTTACAAATGGTTGTACAAACAATAAGTGTTTACAAATGGTTGTACAAACAATAAGTGTTTACAAATGGTTGTACAAACAATAAGTGTTTACAAATGGTTGTACAAACAATAAGTGTTTACAAATGGTTGTACAAACAATAAGTGTTTACAAATGGTTGTACAAACAATAAGTGTTTACAAATGGTTGTACAAACAATAAGTGTTTACAAATGGTTGTACAAACAATAAGTGTTTACAAATGGTTGTACAAACAATAAGTGTTTACAAATGGTTGTACAAACAATAAGTGTTTACAAATGGTTGTACAAACAATAAGTGTTTACAAATGGTTGTACAAACAATAAGTGTTTACAAATAGTTGTACAAACAATAAGTGTTTACAAATGGTTGTACAAACAATAAGTGTTTACAAATGGTTGTACAAACAATAAGTGTTTACAAATGGTTGTACAAACAATAAGTGTTTACAAATGGTTGTGCAAACAATAAGTGTTTACAAATGGTTGTACAAACAATAAGTGTTTACAAATGGTTGTGCAAACAATAAGTGTTTACAAATGGTTGTACAAACAATAAGTGTTTACAAATGGTTGTACAAACAATAAGTGTTTACAAATGGTTGTGCAAACAATAAGTGTTTACAAATGGTTGTGCAAACAATAAGTGTTTAGTAAGTGTTTTAAGATCTTTAATCAGTTTTAAGATTTAATAAAACTGATTAAATTTTAACATAAAATTAAATCAGTAATTAAAGATTAAATCTTATTTAAGATTTAATTTTAAAATTTATTATATTTTATGACCTAATTATATAATCTAATAAAATTTGTTTATAGTTACTTTTTTTATGCTTTTTTCAGAAAACTCAAAAATAAATAAAAAATGTCAGTTAATAAATTATTTTAATCTTGGTCTCTCAATATTTTTTGTTTCTTTTGTATATAACATTATTTTTGTAGATAACATATTTTTGTAGATAACATATTTTTTGTAAATAACATATTTTTTGTAGATAACATTAAACCATGGTAGAAATAATCACTAAGTACTATTGTATTAAAGATTTTCTTTTAGGTTTAAGTTAGTCACATTTCCTAACTCCAAAACTTATGTTTTTTATAAGCTCTTCTTGATTAAAATCAAAAAAATTGATAAAAAAAGTTAAAAAGTAACCTTAAAGTAAAAAGTCAGATGACAGAAAATGGTGTTGAATACAAACTTGGTAAAACAACAGTAGAATGCGACCTTGGCATGTTGATCTCATCAGAAATCAGTAGCAACACAGCAGCAGCAAAAGCACAGAATGTACTTAAAACTGTCAATCGCATTCACTCTCCTAAATATGGAAATCATATGTATTCTGTACACAGTTCTAGTTAGATCTCGCTTTGAGTTTGCAATCCTAGTACGGAATCCTACTTTGAAAAGTGAAATTGAAACACTAGAAATGCAGCGCAACCAAACTGGAACTAAACCGCATACATGGGTTATGAGGAACGACTATTCAAAATGAAATTGACTACATTGGAGACTAGAGGTTAAGGATCTTATACAAGAATACTTATTTTTAACATTATAGAGTAAATTACAACAAAACCACAACAACTTGCTTTGTTATAACAAGCAAACCAGCCATGGAATTATATCATAATTTAAGAATCAAAAAATAAAATGTCAAACATTTTTTGTCTCGAAAATCCTTCTTCAATAACCGCGAATTATGAAAAAGTAATAGCAAATGAACGGAACGAATTACATTATTGTCATCTGTTTAAGAGATAACATGTTTACGCAATCAATTAGGTAAATCTGCGCATCTATCGCATTAAAGAGACAATTTTCTTTTCTAAAGTAGGAAGATGTGAACAAATATGTAAAATTCAAATGTAAAAATTTCCAAAAATATGTAAAGTTCAAATGTAAAATTTTCCAAAAATATATTAATTGGTCTTCAAGTATATAAAGGAAATCCTATAATAAAATAATTTTTTACCCCAGCAAATAAGGTTTTTAAGTATATCTTAGATTATCTGCTTTTACCTTATTATGTTTTTTAAAGCGTAGATTATTAAATGAATAGCTTTTTTACCATTTACAAAAAACATTGAAGTAAAGAGATCATATAAAGAATAAGTATAAAATTAATCAGTGTACAGCAGACTTACCATTACACATATTTTATGGGTTCAGACAGCTGGTTTAAATATGAATTAAATTCAAAAAAACTGTATTTTTATGTTAATTATAAATCAAAATGATGTAATGTACCTCTTATTTCACATTGAATATCTCCAACTTTTAAATCTAGTTCTATATAAATAACACAAATAGAAATTAAATAGAAATAAATGAAAAAGCCATCTAGTAGAAAATAATATCAAAACAAATATATAAAAAATGAGAAAAAATTAAATTAAAATTATAACTTTTTTATTTAATTTAATTTTTTGATTTAATGTCAATTATATAACAAGTATTTAAAAAATATTGGAAATACTCTTTGCATCAAAACAACTAATAAATATACTTCTTGCAAAATATCTTCCACAATTAACAAATAAACTCCTTGCAACATATCTTCAACAATCAACAAATAAACTTCTTGCAACTTATCTTTAATAATCAATAAATATGAAACATAACTTTAAAAATCAACAAATATACTCTTTGCAATTTTAACAATCAACAAATATACTCTTTGCAACTTTTACAATCAACAAATATACTTCTATATAAGTATACAAATATTCAGTAGGAGATAAAAAATTTTCAAGTCATAATACCACCAAAAATCATACTTATTAAAACAAAAAAGGTTTTTTTAAATTTGGCCTAACTATTTTGTTAGAGGCACTTTAAAAATTTAATAAAACACTTTAATAGAGCCAAAATTTGGAAAAATTCTTATCTTTATATTAACTTTTAATTTTAAATGTAATAACTGAAGTCCACTCTTAATTTGATATAAATTATGAATGGCCGAAAAGCTATTTAAACCTACTAGCCCTGGATCTAGTAATCTCATTAATTAAAAATCACTCAGTAATCATTAAATGATCGTTATAGACTTTCTAATTTACTACAGCGTTCAATGCTCAACAATAATGGAATTACAGATTCTGATGACTGAAAATATGTATTAAAATGTGTTTAGAGATTAAATTAGTCTTCAATCTGACCAGGCCTATATTTGCAGTAAATCTGACCAGGCCTATATTTGCAGTAAATCTGACCAGGCCTATATTTGGATAATAGAACAAAAACATATTAGTAGCAGATCATCATAAAATCTTCAGTAACTATTAACATATTTGATTAATATATTTTAGTAAATAAACAAGTAGAAAAATAGATACATGTATCTTGCAGCTGTTCTCTTGATATCTTTCTGCTTGTTCTTATAAAAACTATAGATACATATATCTTTCTGTTTGTTCTCTTAAAGAAAAGGCAGCGAGTAGTTATTTTTTCTGAAAAAGGGCGGTAGGCCAAATAAGTTTAGAAACCATTAAGTTGGATCCATACATTAAAATAAATATTAAATTAACAAAATCACTAAATGAAGATAATTAAATACTTATACTTTGGTTACATAAAAAATAAAAATTAAAAGTAACTGAATAAATTTTCATAAACTTCAGCCAACAAGCACGAATTTTAAATTTTTATTCCCTAATTTAGTACTTTTCTGCAGTATTACAACTTGTAAAAAATTTTATGTCAAATAATTTATAATTATACTCAACTACATTATATTCAACTAATTTATAAGAATACTAATTTTGACATTTTTCAGGCTATCTGAATGTTAAAAGTAAATAACTAACTAAAACAAATAACAACCTTCAGTGCCCGAAGATTTGTAATAAACTGATTCATCTGTAGCAAACTATAAAATTATAAAAATATAAAGAAAAAAAGAGTTTTATTAGTTTTTATTTCTTGACCATAAATTTTGTCTCAAAATAACTATTAATGTTAACTTCCTAGATTTTTTTCCCCTAAAAACCATTTAAATTTATTCAAACATTGAGTTTTTTATGTTTAAACTTTTACAATAGGGATTGCAATACCGGTTAACCAGTAAATCAAATAAAAACTTATTTTTTTGTTAAATTAAAAAAATTAAATTAAAAAAGTAGATTTGTAATAACTAAGTAAACCAGTAAAAAAATATTAAGACAAATATGAAAAAATTACGATCTGTTAATGAGAAACCACAATCATAAGACTACAATCTGTTAATAAGAAACCACAATTATAAAAAAATGCTAACACTTCACAAATGTATTTTTTATAACTGAAAGTAAAATATAATGAATCGTAAAAAAATAATTTTCTATGTAGATTGTTAAGGATTGGTATAATTCCACTTGGACATGATTAACAAGTAGTTAAATTCCCAATGAACATTGTTAATAATTGGTACAAAAGTAATTCCGTTTAGACAATTTGTATGAAGGAAGTCTCATTGTATGAAGGAATTTCTCTTGTGCACTCTCGTAAAAGCTGTAGCATTTAAAGTGATTTGAGAAAAAGATACAAGAGAAAACAAGGAGTTTTTTTAAACAGGTAAATTACTTAATTAAGTGTTATATTTAGTATAAGTGTAATTAAATAAACTTATACATAAGAACATTGACGTCTTTTAACTAATAAACAATAAAAACATAGTAAATTGAATCAATTTAATTAAATACGAAGTTAATCAATACTTCTAAAGTTATTATGTTTTATTTTTGTTTTTTTACATCATCGTTTTTTTGTATTTATGTGTTTATGCTTTTCAGGCATAAATAAAAATACATCATGAAATTATTTTATAAGAGTACAAAATAGAAAAGCAGGTCAATGCAAGAAATGTTCAAAAACAATTTAGGCTTCTGGCGACAGTACAAGTGGTATGCATGCACACCTTTGAAGATAGCACAATAGTACCCTCTTAAGAAAGAGATAACCCAGATGAACCAAATAAAATTACGCCTACACCAATGAATATAAACACAAATTTGAGTAGTTTATCAAAAAAAATTGAGTAATCAAAAGTTTGGTGCACAATTGTTTTATTTGTATTGTTGCACAATTAACAGCCAAAGACAATGTACCATTTATTAAATTTTGTATACCTTATAATTTAAGAATATTGTTAAGTGCTAAAGGTTATCTTAATATTCAAAAATCTCCAGACACGATTTAAAAAATTGTGAGTGAATATGCAGCTAAAATACACCAAAGAATCTTAGTCAAACTTAAAACACAAGCTAATCAAGGTGAAAGGTTTAGCACCACATTGATGAGTAAATTTCTGTAAAAAACTATTGTTATATAAATGTCTCAGTCTTGCTAGAGTCTGTGTATCAATGCTAATGGATAAATGTATTGCCTTTTATAGAAAAAAACTTGAAACATTTGGATTTTGAATGAATTTAAATGAATTAATATTACAAATAAACAAAGACAAAGTATTATGCTAGATGTTTTACACTTTTTATGACCTAAACAATTTAAATACAGGAATGTTGAGATTATGGAATATTAAATAAAATCAGTAAAACTCCCATAACTAAATCAATTAGGTAAACATATTTCTAACAATCCAAATTAAAATGTTGTCAGTGAAAATGATGATCATTTTAGCGATGTAGATAAAGTTAGAGTAGTTGATGTACTTTCAGCTTTATCACCGTTCCCAAAATTAAATACTGAGATAAAAATATTGTTAAAAGAAAAGCTTGGATTAGAAATAAAAAAATTGTATTCTAGAAAAAATAACTAAGAAAAAAAACAGTAAAGATATTGATGTGAGGAAAGAAATTATAACATTACATAATAAGCAAATATTTGAAATCATCATCTCTTGATTGTTCGCCCAACAAGTGTTGAAGCAGAATGTGTCTTCTCTGCTGCGGGGATTACCGCCACAAAAATAAAATTGCAATTAATTGACGGAAGTATAGATGATTTATGCTACTTGTGAGCATATTTTTAAAAAGGTGATACATTTAAAATAATGTGATTTATTTTCTTTTTAAAATGAACTAATTTTTTTTTTATTAATAATAAAAATACACAATATTTATTATATTTGTATTTATTATTAATATATTTTTAGAACTAGTGTAATATTAGGTATATATGTATAGTATTAAGTGTAAACTAAAAATATTAAAACATGTTTTCAGTTTAAATATTTTTTGAACTCTATATTAATATTTTTTATTTCAAAAATGTTTTGAAAATGTGCAAAATTATTGGTAATTTACCTGTTAACTAGCAATCGATTTTTTTTTTACTATTGGTAAAAGGTCAGTAATTTTTCAATCCTACTTAACAATTATTTATATAGTTATATAAAATATGATAGAACTTATAGAAATTGAGCTAATATAAATTTTAAATACACATTAACTACTATTTTAAATAATTCAAAAAATTTCAAAAACATAAACAAACCTTAAATTCTAAATTCTCATCAATTTCATAATTGCGACTTAGTTTCATTTCATCTGTTAAAGGGATATTTAGCAGGTACCCTAACTAAAATTAAAAATACTTTTAAATCTTTACTTAAATAAAACAAATACTTTAATGTACTTAAAAATTAAGTAACAAGTGAAAAGAGTTATTAAGTCTATGACAGTTAAATACTTTAATGTACTTAAAAGTAAAGCAAAGTGGAAAAGCCTTATTAATTATTTTTATTTAATTTTAAAAAAATTAACATTTAATTAAATTAAATTTTTTTAACATTTAATTAAATTAACATTTAATTAAATTAACATTTAATTAAATTAACATTTAATTAAATTAACATTTAATTAAATTAAATTAATTTTTAAGCAATTTTTTGAGTTAAAAATATAAAATTTAATAAATAAATATAAGATCATTTTAAAAATGATCTATATAAATGATCTATAAATACTTGTTGTAACTATTTATAATGTAAGTATTTAAAGCTCAAATAAAAATCTACAAGAGATAAAACTAAGTAATTTTAATATTAAAATATAATATTAAAAGTCAAATAAAAATTTTAATCAAGCAGTTTTACTCTAAAAAACAAGTCACAAAACTAAACAATAATATCCACAATAACAAATTGAAAAAAGCTGTTCACACTTTTTGCAAACAATGCATAAAAACATTTCTAAAAGTACAATCAAAAACAATGGTAGTTTATTTTTTTGCCACAGATGAGGATAAACATTTGGCTGTAAGAAGCATTTTATTTTTACAACTTTACTTATGTCATATGATTTATTATACTTTTGACATTTTATTATTAACAATGTAGGAGGTCCAATTATGATTAGAAACTTATTATACTAATTAATAATTAGGGCAACCAAAATTATGTTCTAAAAAATAATTTAATTTCTTGGATTATGTCCTAAAAAACCAATTTTAAGTAAATAGAATACAAAAAATATAATAAAAAATAAAAAAAAGCTTATAAAACGTCATCTTGTTTATTGTACATAGACACTGTACATAGGTTAGGTAAAGCAGTTTAAAACAGTATAAAGTAAATAGGTTAGGACAGTGGTTAGGACAGCATACACTATCTGATAAATTATGCGGAGGAAAAGTGCAAGAAGAAAAAGATTTAGGCTAAGTTAATAAAAAAAATTTTTTTACTAATAAAAAAGTGAGCATATTGACAGAAAAATAAGGACAGATAGGTGTTAAACATTACCGGACAAGTTCTTTATAAGACCAGGCATTATTTTTTACAGTTTTTATTTTCTATTTTAAAGAACTTTTTGCCAAGAAGGCTGCAAGCAACCACTAGTTGAGTTAGGAATTAAAGTAAAATGATAAATAGATTTAAAGTGTAAGAAAGCGGTAGACTAAAAAAAGAACTTAAAAGATTAAAAATGACTTTAAAGACTTGAAAAAAAAACTTTAAAAACTGTAAATTGCATGAATCAGACTGCTAAAAAGCACCAGTATTTAAGGGAAAAAACTAGATAAATAAAAGTTTTTTGAGTGTAAAGGAAAAATTACAGTTAAAGTATGCAACTTTGTTAAATGATAAGCCATACGAGATTAAGTTTGGTTAATAAATATGGTTATATTTGTAGAAAAAATATAGATTTGCAATTTTTAAATGTAAGAATAGAACCTCAAGGTTAGCAGAACACTTCACTTGTGTACTTTTAAGAACTATTATGGTAAATTGTAATAGATTTTTGAATATTATTTACATTTTTAAAATATAGCAGTCAGCTTTACATTTAAAGATACACAGTATACATTTAAAGATACATGATTTACAGATAATCTTGGTCGGGTATGTATCCACACAAGATTATTTTTATGTAAACAATAATCTTTGACAAAAAATAATATTTAGTTTCCAATATTTCAAGAATACTTTGTAACTACTTTTTTAATTTAATTACCAAAATAAATAGTTAATTTTTGAAAGAAGATAATAGTTGCTTTTTCAATGAATTTTTAACAAAGATCAAAGATGTTAAGTACTAAAATAATGATGAGCTAAAAATAAAAAATGGTAATCTAAAAATGGTAGCCTAATAAAAAATGGTAGGGTAGGAGATACAACCTTACTGCTATTATTATTAACAAAAAAAGCAGAAAAAACAAAAACAAATTATAGTTAATAAAACTTGCCATAATTTATTAATATTTATTTTACCTGTGGCAAGTAAGTGACACTACATTTTGTGATACTTTCAGTCAATCTATTAAGCTCTTTATGGGCAACTTGTGTCATTAAGTAAGGAATGCCATCGAAAGTTCTTTTTTCTATAACATAAAAACTGAACATAATATTCATTGTTTTTACAAAATTAATGTTTTGGCATCTTTAAACACTATTTTCTATTATATTATGTAACTCGCCATCAATGAATTACATTCATACATAAAATTTATTGTACTCTGTCACTTGCCAATGAATTACATTATTACGTTAGATTATAATCTTATATATCTTAAAAAATGCAAGTATCTGTGAAAAAGGAATGAAGTATTTGCATGGTCTATTACTATGCAAAGTATTATTAAATTAAGTACCTGTGTTTGAGTTAAAAATAATTTTATTCAAAACTATACTATTATTAATTATCAAATCAAACTATCATTACCCTCAAAAAAAATTTTTTTTTTTTATATATTTTGTTTTCAACATGCTCCTTTTCAACAAGGCTGCAAGCAAATTATTTTTATCTATCTTTTAGATATATTCAGGTCTTTATTATTAAGTAACTTATTAAAAGCAAAAACTTTTGCAAAGTTCAACATATTTAGTCACTCTTTTGAAGACTAATTTTATTAGGTTCATCTTTAAATCTCAGTGATGATATTTCAGCAGATTCATCTTTAGATCTCAGTGATGATAGCTATTCTTCTTTGATTCACAAAAACTCTAACATATTTGTTTTTACTAGAAAAGAGAAAGAGATGCAACTTTACAACAATGGGAAAGAGGCTCAAGCTTAGCAGTCCAACAACGCTTACAATGCATTTTTGGAACATTTCGAGAAGAGAAATAGCATCATTAGAAGAACCACCCCAAGTCTGACAACAGTATTCCATACAGGGACGAATAAGAGATTTGTAGAGGTAGAGAATGAAATCAAGAGAGAGAAAATGGTGAGCATGATAAAAAGAAGCAACCTTAGCAGATGGTAATTTAGCAATCGATTGTATATATGGTTTCCATGAAAGGTCAGTAGTAAATGATAATCTAAATAGACATAAAGAAGAGGACTCAGTGAGAGGGTTGCCATTCATCAATATAGGAATGTTGACAGTACTGCAATAGTTGTTTGCAATAAATAACTCAGTTTTGTTGGAGTTAAAATTAAAAGCAATTGTGATTCCCAATCAGTTAAAGAAGGGAGATCAGATTCAAGATTGGCTGCCTGCTTTGAGGGATCAAATAGAGAAGACTTTTTGTCAAGACAGGCGTATAAAGTTGAGTCATCAGCAAAAAGAGCTACTTTGATGTAAGGTTGATTATTAATGTATATAAGAAACAGAAGGGCCTTGAGGTACTCCAGATGTTACTGGAAATAAAGTGTTGGCCTTCGAGGATGACTTTAGTAAAGCAGTTAGAAAGAAACGATTAAATAAAGTGTTGGCCTTCGAGGATGACTTTAGTAAAGCAGTTAGAAAGAAACGATTTGATAATCTCAAAAACTTTCCCAGATACGTCATATGAAACAAGTTATGGAGAAGACCAATATGTCAAACTTGGTCAAAAGCCTTTTAAAAATGTCAATAGCAATAGCCCTAGCCTATCTGCATCCATCTAATGCACGATAAAATTTTTCAGTCACAGCAGTTAGCAAGTCAGCCATAGACCAAGAGGATCCAAAACCATATTGATTATCTGGCAGCAAGTAATGTGACTCAATATGAGATGTGAGATATTTGTTTATAAAGTTCTTACTAATAACAGAAAGAAGACTGATTGGATGATAATTGGAGGGGTCAAAATATTCACTAGAATTTTGACATTTGGAACAACAGATGCTATTTTCCAGCAGACAGGAAAACAAGACTCAGTCAAGCATTTATTAAATAGTTTAGAGAAAACTGAAGAGAGTTCTGAAATACAATTTTGTAAGACTGTGACAGGAATATTGTCTAGACCACAAGCCGTAGAAGAGTTTAATCGAGATACAACTTTAGCAACGACAGTGGATTGAATGTCTAACAAGGGCTAAACCTGTTAAATTGGAATGGAAGGAAGAAAATGGTCATAAGATTCAAGAGTTGAATTAGAAGAAAAGTTTTTTGCAAATAGTTCTGCGTGATCCTTGGGAGAGGTAAAAAGATCAGTCCTATTAATGAGAGATGGAATCTCAGACCTTCCTTTGTTAACAACACTGTTGAAGATTTTCCAATAGTCTCTACAGCTTAACTTCTGAGATAAGACACAAGATTTAGTGATCTGAGAATAATGGAGCTTAACATTAGACACCACCTTATAACATCGATTTCTTGCAATAATAAAAAGGAAGGAATTAAAGCATTCATTATTGCCTGAATCCAGGAGGTTACGTAGAAGGTGCATTTTTCAGCTGAGAAGGAAAATATATCAACCCAAGAACCATCACGAAGAAAATCATGAAAAGAGTCCCAATCAGTTTTAGGGTAGTAGTAAGTAGTCCAATGATAGGGTGAGTTCAAAGAAAAAGTACAAGATAAAAGATTTTAAGAGATCATTGCATGGTCAGAACTACCTTAGGGAGAAAAAGAAGAACTGAACACAAGCTAGGATCAGAGACTAGACATAAATCAAAGGGTGAAGGTAATTGATTTGGGTTGTAAGAAAAACAAATCACAAGTTAACTACCTGAGTAAGAGGTTAACAAATGCAAAAGTTATAGGTTTTAGTGCCAATAGGGTCAGTGGTGTTAGAGCCTTGCCATTCAGTGTGATGAGCAATAAAGTCACTAATAACATCAATATTGGCAAAGGGTTCAAGAGAAAGGACATGGTCAATTTGATCAAAAATTACATCTAAAAGAGTTCAGTCTTATGAAGAATGATGAAGAACAAAGAGAAAGGTGATAGAGTGAAGAGACACATAAAAGAATGGTCAGAGGATTCAAACCTGATTTCCTGACAAATAGGTGAATTAATGTGTAAGTATACCCTCAAGCCAAACATTTGACTACTTGGAGCTTTGCAAATCAAAGGATAGTACCCATCAATACTGAGATCTGTAGAAGAAACAGCCAAATTCAAATTAGACTAACAAAGAGCAAGCAAGTCTGGTGATTTCTGGTGAATCTAAAAGAGTATAGTCTTAAGAAAAAGGAGAACAATAAAGTATAAAAAGAAAGGTGAGAGTGAAGAGGAACTAAGCGGAAGCACATAAAGGAATGGTCAAAGGATTCGAATCTGATTAAACGACAAATAGCTGAATTGGTGCATTTGCATACCCCAAAGTATGGATTATTACAAGGATAAACAGATATAGGGGTATTATAGGGGTATAAACCAGATATAGGGGTATTATAGGGGTAAACAGAGATATAGGGGTATAAACAGATATAGGTATTATAAGGGTATTATAGTCATTATAGGGGTAAACAGATTCTATCTGTTGACCAGCCTCGCACACCTTCTTTATCTATTAGGCTGGCACAGATGTGTTATTTACAGTTTATAATACATTATTTACAGTTTAGGATGTTGAACACTGGATCTTCTTGCCTCAATGCGTGGGTTTCGCTTGTGCCTCTTGTTGCCTCTATATGACTAGGCGACTCATTCTATTATCTTCTTTTATCTGAGGGTACAGCTCTAAAACTCAGTTTTATGGTTCTGAGGCTGCCTGGTAGTCAGGTTTCCAAAACTGTATGGTAACTCTCAAAGAGGTTTTGTCATTAACAGCTAAAAAATATCAGAGTAATAACAGTGCCATTTTGCGCATGGGTGGTGTCCCTGTTTTTGGGTGGTGTCCCTGTTTTTACTTTGGATGTGCCACATTTGGAACCCTTTGTTACGGCTTAGGGTTTATTAATAGTAATGAGACAACTGCTTGCGTTATTAAATAGTGTATTGAGTAAATTTAAAACTTCATTGTTGGTATACATATAATTAGGTGCATATAACAATGATTGCATTAGTAAATAAATGGTTCCAATACTATAGATTTTTAATATTGATAAACATGAAAGCAAAGCATATGCTCCTGAAAAAGATTTTTTTAAGTTAATCTTGAATGAGCTCTAAAGCTGACAATATGATGGGTGATTACAATTTGTGTCAGATTACAATTAAATAAGAGATGACTTGCCTCCAGTACAAATTAATGGGTTGCCTCCAGTAACAACAAGCATCTTGTTCCAGAGACAGCAAAATATATTTGTCTTTTTTAATTGCTTACAATAGTAATTTTTGTGACTCATACTCCAAATAACCCAAATAACTTTCCCTCCTGGATTTGATGTATCTGACCTTTGCTTATGTTCAATTTTTTCTTTTTCTCTGTAATGAGGTTCAGACCGTGCTATAATCTTACTAAAACTTATATCTTGTACTACTTCTAAAATCAGACCTGCCAGATTTTTGCAATTCTTAGTTCTACCTTAATGCTGAATGGGAATCACTTCAATCACTTTAATAGTCTTTTAATTTCACTATTATCTATCACTTAACTATTATTAACAGTCTTTGAATCTTAAGTTAACAAACTTAAAATATCTTGAGTCCAACAGCATATTCTCTGATAACAAATATGGATTTCAATTCTCTCATTCAATTTTTGATTTGTTGAAAAAATACCAGATTTTTAATAAAATCTGGTATGCTGGTCTTCATTATAACTTTCTATGGTGAATCTGAGAAAGTTTTTATCAAACAATTTCTTTTAAATCACATTATCAAAGTTTACTTTAATCAAAAAAACCTCTCCTTTATTTTTAGTAACATCTAGGGTATCATAAGGTTTTTGGTCTGCATTGTTTCTTAACTATACTTTATCTATATCTCATACTTATATATATTATACCTTAATCAAAATACTTTATCTTTTTGATAATCTTATCTATAGAATGGTTTTATTTGTTAATGACACAACTATATGATACAAGCTCTTTATCCACTATTTTACATATATTATCTTTTACTACCGATCTCTTAAAATAACCATCTATATAATTCATTATAAAGTTAACATTTAAAATTCATTTTATATGCTCACTATGTTTTTTCTTCTAATTCTATTCTCTCTGTAAATCTTTAATTTGCTGTTGTATAAAAGGGCTTCTGTTATTATATTTGTACATTTACAATCATGGCATCAGGCCTTGTTTTAAATAAAAATGTGCTTAACGCATTAGCTTAACGCAATATTTGACGTCATAAAATTATCTTTATTTTTTTTTATAGACGTTAAGTGTTTTAACTATCGCAATAAATAAATAACCGCTAACTAGTTTAATTTAACAATTAACTCAAATAACTATAAACGTTTTAAATGTAAATTTATAATAAAAAGTTTGTAATGTTTTCAATTGTTATCTTATTATTAATTTTAGTTCAATATTATTTAGTAAAAAAAAAATATGTATATATATTTTAATTATTTCTGAAATTTGGTTTTGAATAATTATTGTTTATATATCGTTATTGAATAAAAAATAGTTTTTTTTAATTTTAAATATTTCTGGAGTAAACAAAAAATATTAACATTGATAAACAAAAACTTATGTTAATTATTTAAACAGCAATTTTGTTTTGACTAGCAAAGAATAATTTAGCAAAGAATATTTTTTTAAATTTATCTTGCTTAGCGTTTCAACTTGCGTTATATAAAAATATAAAAACGTTTTGTCTGCTTTTAGCATATTTTTGATACATAGTTTAAAACGGGTTCGCCAGGAATTTAATTCATAAATTTTGTATGTTATTGTAAAAATGTTTTACATTTTAAACAAATCACAAAGAAACAGAGCTATAGAGAAATATTGTTTTTAACGATTAAACCTTTTTTTTTTTAATTTTAGGAAATTAAAAAAAAATTAAATTAAATATATAAGTCTTAATCGTGCAAACTCTTTTCTTAATTATTCTTAAAACAAAAAACAAATACTTCTCCGCTAAACTTTAATCGTGCAAACTTAAAAAAATACTCAACTAAAATAATTTAAGTATATTTAATAATATGAATCGTATCTGTTTATAATAAACGTTCGTAAAAATTTGTTTATTAAAAATTAAGTTCCTTAACTTATAAACAAACTCAAAAGTATTTTCATTCTACGTATAATTACAAAAAAAAAAAAACTCTTTTTTTTCTTCGTTTGTAAGCAATTTAACTTAATAAAATAAAAAAAATAAAAAATATGAGGTAATCTTTGTTAAGAACAAATTTAATTTATTTATTAAAATATATTTTTATTTTTATTTCTATATCAACTTAAATTAAATATAGTAACATGTTAAAATATTTTAACATGACTTATGTTATTTATAAACCGTAGGGCAGCTGCCCTTACGGCACAATTGTTTTAAGATTATATTTTATTTTGATGAAGATCACATAACTTACATTTGATTTTAATAACATAAGTCTTCTCTTTTTCTGTGATCATCGCATCGGTAAAGCATCGGCAAAGTCCCAAGATTTAAAAGTTTTTAAAGAAAATCTTTTGTCCTTCAAAATACAATCCATATTCGAACTTTAAACAATTTAGAGAGAATAGAAATATAAAAGGTTTTTATATACTAGTTTGTCTTGTTTTATAAAGAAAAATACATATTCATTAATAAAAAATAGAGACTGTCATTAAACTAAAACGCGCCTTAGTATTTATTTAAAGGAATCTGTAATGTGCGCGTGCATAATGAAACCTCCATTATATAAATATATTCAACGTAATATTAGTGTCATCAGCGGATGTTATAGTCTACTCGTGATTTCTTTACCTTATAACTTGATCTATGAAAAAAATTTATTGAATCGCACGCAGAAGAAATTTAACATATTGTCTTCATTCAAAAACTGCGATTAACAAGTAATTTTTTTTTTCTGTGCTGGCCCCCTCCCCTCGCATAACTTAAAAGCAAAGGTATCTATATACCTTTAACTAATAAGAAAAGCAAAGAGTAATAATTAATGAAGTAATTTTTAGAAAAATACAAATAGATTGTTCATTCATTGGCACATTTTTTTTAATATCTTGAAAAAATGTCTTGATATTTTTGTTATCATGATAACAAAAATATTAAGACGTTTTTTGATATATTAAAAAAATGTCAACCCTTAATTACAAATTTTTTGCAAATGTTTTTTAATATGAATTTAGTAAAAAACTCTAAAAAAATTTATATTACAAAAAACATTTATATTCTGTATTAATAAGTTTGGAATATAGATTTTTTAAAAGTTTTTTACTGAAAACTTTTAAAGTTGAACTTTTAAAGTTAAACTTGAAAAGTTACTCCTTTTTATTAAAAACATTTGCAAGAAATTTGTAGTTAAGGATTGACGAACAATTTTTCATGTTACTAAATATTTGATATTAAGTTAAGCGTAAAATTAAATGTTATAAAAATGTATGATATGTCGCGATAAAAAGTTACTTTAATTATTTTAAACGTAATTTTTTTCTAATAAATATTTTTACATATTGTTATTCAAAAGTTAATGTGGTTTTTTTAAAAATTAATTACTTTTTTTATGCTACTGCTAATTTAAAAGTTAAAAAATGATAAAAAGTAGCTTAACCAAAACTTCTCTACGCGTACGTAAAAATCGCTTAAGGCGTACGTAAATCGCTCTAGGCGTAACACTTTAAAACAAGACCTGTGGTATATTTGTTTATGGTATATTTGAGTTAATGATATTATATTGGTATTATATTTTTTCCAAGAAAATTTTACTGTAAAAAACCATGTAACTTTAATATAACTTTAAAGTTCAAGTGAAATATATAAATACTACAAAATTTGAAACTTCAGTAAAATTTGAAACAAAGAATAATGTAAAAAATATAATAAATATAACAACTATTCAAATACTATAAAACTGCTATGTTATTTATGTAACATACTTTCATCTAACTGAGAATCAACACCTTCTTTGACTACAAAATGGTTGACGTACAGAGATTCCTCAAAATCAATCTGTTAAGAAAAAAACATACTCATGAAAGAAAATTTGTAAAGATAGAAAAAAAATAGGCAGAAAAAGATAAAAAAAAAAAAGAAAAAAAAAAGAAAATAAGAGTTGTCTTTTTTTATTTTTATTTTTCTTTAATTTTAAGTATTGAAAGCTATTTAAAAGATACAGTTCTATAGAAATTAGCAAAATATTAAACAGCAACTAAAGTTATTGATGACTAACAATTTGTTTCATTAGATTAGCAATATGAAGAAGCTTGTCAGTAAATGTCTCACAAATTTTATTGACAACACCAATGTCTTGTGGAAGTTGTTTACAGATATCTGCTATACATACTGCGTTGAATAAAGTCTATAAAAAATCAATTAACATTAATTTATTTTAAGGACTGGTAAATATTCGTTAAAATTTGGATTATGAAGTTAACTGAAAGACGAAGTTGACTTTGGCTTCAACTTTAGTGTTAAAGTTGAAATAGAAATTTGGCTTTCAGTTAAATTCAGTAACAATTTCAAAATTTCATTTAACATTCAGTTAAATTCGAAAGACACAAAGTTTTTTTAATTTGTAAAGAAGAAGAATTATGAAATTTATTATATGTATATCAACCTGTTTCTATTGGTTGTAACCTCTTTCAACTCTTTAACTCTGAAAAGTGTTTCGGAGTCAAAGAGTTGAGAGAGGGTTGTAACCAATATAAGAAGTAGCTTCCTCAACTAAAGTGGCGCACCCGGCCTTGGGAACATAAACTAAGTAAAAAATAAATAAATAAACATTAGAAATAAATTTTTCAATATTCGAAAAGTCTTTTTTAGGCACAAAGTCTATTTATCACTTATTAAATCTTATTTATCGCTTTTAAAAAATCCAAAAGGTGAAAAACAGGTGAAACACAGGTGAGTAAATATTTATACAGTGAATATTCTTAATGATCTTTTTCCTTTATAAAATTGACAATCAAAATTTTTCAATAAACGTAAATTTTTTTTGTTCATGTTCGTTCAAAAGTATTAAGAGTTGTAAAGATTCCATAACTTAAATTCTTATTATTACTGAATTTTTATATATATTTTTTTTTTGACGCAAATTGTTTTTTGTAAGTATATTTTTTTTTTTTTAAATATAATTTACTTGGCTTTACTCGGTCTATGTCATGTTTTAAATTATGGTTAATTACAAGTTAAAAAATAATTATAGTTTATAAAAAATGATTATATAGCAACTGCGGCGCAGTGGTTAGAGCGCTTACTTTAGAAGCAGGAGACCGAGGGTTCAAAGCAAGCTCTGGGCATATTTCGCACAATTGGTAAAGAAGGAGGTTTGAACTTCTTAGTTTAATACTTTTCTGATTTACTCTGTGGCAAAACCAATAGGTCTTCTTGAAACATTTAAAGCAAAAAACAAAAAATTAAATTTTTTTTTTTACAAAACTTATGAAAGCTCTTAAAAAACTTCTTTTTTAATTAAATGTGTTTTTAAAGTCCAAATTCGTCTTTCAGTTAAATTCGGGCTATATATACGGCTTAAAATCGTCTTTCAGTTAAATTTGGTATACGCATATGATGTAAATTGGTTTTCCATTTAAATTCGAGTCTTAAAAAGTTGACTTTGCTGGTCCTTAATTTATTTATTATAACTGCACATAAAACATAACTTTTTAAGTGTAAACAATTAATTCAGCTGCTACAGGATTGATAAACTGGTAAGTATAAATACCTATGTACAGTTTAAGGTAAAGCTATAGACATGGCCAGTAATTACCAATAAGTTTTTTTTTAATTTATTTAATGTTTTACACTTGTTTTAATTAAATTTAATTATGTAGTTTTCTTTATTATTCATTATTGATTTTAATGTGCATTTTAATAAACATTTATAAATTAATAATTGATAAATATAAATTTAAATGTACATAAAAAATAAGAATGGATTTTTATATACAACAACAATAAAAAAAATTCAGATAACAAATGCAATAAATCTGAAATACTTTATACAGTGTTTGCCAATCATTCAGTGAAATAGAAGTAGTTTTCATTTTTGATAATATTCGCTAAAAAATTAAAAAAAAAATTATTTTATTATTTATTTTAATTGTATAAAATTTTTAATATTAACCTAAATAAATAGTAATTCTTAAAAAAAAATCACAGAAATTTTAATGTTTGTGATTTATCTAATAGTTAGTCACCTGCAATTTTATTAAGTACCAAATCAATACATTTTGGCTTTCAGAGAGTTTCTGAAAGTAATGTAGTAACATGTCCTGAATACAAACTCTTTATTTTTGTCATCAATTCTGGAATTGAAGTGCGGCACTCTGTGATTTTATTTTCTTCAAACTATCTGGGCTGTTGCTGAGCCACTGCAACAGAATAATTTCTTTGCTCAAGAACCATGCTATAAATTGTTTCCATGAATGGCAACATGTGTTATCTTATATAAAGTAAGTTGATTATTAAATTTTAAAAGGGTCCAGAAGTTCTTGTCTTAAAAACCTTATATAGTGTTTGGAATTCATGGATTCATTTTTAGGAAGAAAGTATTGTATTCCATACGATACTTTCTTCCTAAAAGTGCTCCTCTACTCTAATCGATTACATGTGCGCTATGTTTGGCAGTTCTTTGGGTGTACTTGCGCTATGTTTGACAGTTCTTTGGGTGTATTTGCGCTATGTTTGACAGTTCTTTGGGTGTATTTGCGCTATGTTTTAACAGATACTTTTCCAAGTAATGATGGGTGTTTTTTTTTTTTTTTTTTTTCAATTCTGCTGCAGAATTATACGTTCTTCCTAAAAATGAAACAATTAATTCTGAACTTTATATAAGGCGTTTAAAACAATATCTTCTGGACTCTTGATTAAGTTAGATTTTTGGGCTAGCTGTAAAAACTCACCAAAATATTCTTTGTATTTTTTAATGCATCTTGAAGTGCAACTACAATTTCAACATTTCTTGAATTAAAAAAGAAAGCCACAGCTTTTAACCTATTCTGGATAAGTGAAATGTCATTACTAGGTTGAAGAAACCAATCTCGAAGTAATGCAGATCCTTGTTGGGACTTTGTCCTGTTCATAATCCCTATAAGAATATATTTTTTTTTTTTAAAGATTTTTTTTTTTGTAAAACAAACATACAATACTGATTAAACTTGGTGAAAACAGGTTTTTGTTTTCCATAAATGATGGAGAGATGACTTTACTCACCAAATAATGAAAGACCCTCTTTAGCACAAGAGCCAGATTTATAGACCGATGGGTGCAATTCTTTATGAAAAATTTGCAAGGCAGAAAATACATGGTCTTCAATTAGTATCAAATTGGATCTAAAAGAAAAATCTTATATTAAAACAAAATATTTTACACTTTAACTCAGAAACTGTTTTAATATTAAACTTAGTAAAAAAGAAATAATAAAAATAACAAAGATTATTTTAAAGTAACATGAAGAAAAGTCTTTGATAAAGTTATGAGAGTTAAGGATGATAACTATGTGAAAGAAGAAATACAAAATATAATACAAAGTCTGTAATATGAACCTAAAAGGATGATCATATATAATGTAGGATGCAAGAAAAAAACATGCTGTGTCACTGTTTATTCTTTTTAAAAAAACAAGTTTAAAGACTTATGCAATGAACTTAGTTTATGTTTTTTAGTTCAAAACTTAAAGGTGACTTGAAATATTTAAAATAATTTGCATATTTATAATTTTGCACCCAATATATAGTTGAATACAATAAAGGCAAAAACTTTAAAAAATTTAAAAACCTGACATAACTGAGGTTCCCCTTGCATGCTTCATAGTATAGAAGGCTTATCCAAATAAAATAATTATAAGGTATATTCAAAGTATATAAGGCTGTTTACAAAATTATATTACTTATTATTAATATTATTATTGTTATTATTATTATTATTATTAATATTATTATCATCATTTTATATTAGTGCCGATCTTAATAGTAGCAGTAGTGCCCACTTGTGTATGTTTGACATGGAACATTTGTCAGCTATTAAAGCTAAGGTAATGGAAAGAGAGAGTCTCTCAGAACGTTTTTATAAGGGAGTATAGAAAATTTATACATAGATATGTAAAAATATATATGTAATAATATTTCATTTAAAATTACACAAATGTAAAAATTCCATTTGTATGGCGCTACAAATAAACATCTGGAAGTGTAAACATCTTTAGCATAAGTTAAGTTAGCAGTGGTATATGGAACAATTGTGTACAATATAAGTAAACTTTAAAGTTTTATTTTAACAATTAGAAGTCTTTTTTGCTGCATATACTTTTTTTGCTATAAATATATGCAGCAAATTTTAAATGATTGAAAAACGCATTATGCTGTAAGCCGATGTGTTCATTTTTATTTAGTTTAGTTAAAAAAACAAATACATAGCATAATTACATTAAATAACCTAGTTTATATTTGTATTTAACTAATAACTTAGTAAATATTTATATTTAACGTTTTGTACGCACACATATACACAATTGTATCAATTTTATCTTTATATTTATTATTATATCAAATAAAATGCTATTTGTGTAAATTGACAATATAATTGTACATGTAAAGAACCAATGACAAAATAATTTTACAATAAAAGTAAGATTGACACACACAAAAACTATTTATATTAGTTTTCTATTATTTTTGGTCAGTTGGCTTCACTACAAAAAAATCACAACAGCTAAATCAAAATCAAAAATAAATTTTACATACATAGTAACAGTTTTAAGAAATAAGATGGGTGTTTGAACTCCAACTTCTAATTCTATTCCATTTCTTGATTGATCTAGATATTTGAGAAGAGAACCAGTAGCAGAAACCTATATTGAATAGTAAAACTATTTCTATATATTTTCTATATATATATATATATATATATATATATATATATATATATATATATATATATATATATATATATATATATATATATATATATATATATATATATATATGTATATATATATATATATATATATATATACGTATATATATATATATATATATATATATATATATATATATATATATATATATATATATATATATACATATATATATATATATATATATATATATATATACATATATATATATATATATACATATATATATATATATACATATATATATATATATATATATATATATATATATATATATATATATATATATATATATATGTATTTTATGTATATGGGTTTCGACAAAACCAACCATACTTGGGCACTGATTTGGAAGCCACCGTGTAACTGCACGACAACGAAGAACAAATAACTATCACTAACGCGTTTTTTGAAAATAACGCATCGAAGCAAAAAGTTATTTTCTTAACAAAGATTATTGTAGTACTGCAATAATCTTTGTTAACAAAAAAAAAACTTGATGCAAAAAAAACATGGTGTGTAATTATGGGGAAAAAAATAAAATAGACTATACCACTTTGAAGAGTAAATATCAATAAAATTGATTTTTTTTAGCCAATCTAAATCTAAAATATTTTTACACAAAACAGTTTGGTTTTTGAAGAAGGCATTTAACTGAACATCTCATAAATGGAATTGTACACCAAGTTATTGAACTTTCTCAAAAAAGTTTTCAAAATGTGACATCAAGAAATCTTAATCTAACATAAGTTTTGAGTTTAAAGAATACCAATGATTTATTTTATTTTATTATTATATAGGCCAATAAACTCTCACTCAATGTAGATAAAACAAAATATTTTTTATTTAATAAAAAATTACAAAAAGAAAACTTTCTTTTCAGAAATTTAAGACTTTCTTTTTAAAACAGTAAATATTGTTTTTTTCGCAAAAAAAAAAAAAAAACTCTAACATATGGCAATGCTTCAGCCAAATTTCCTTATGGCCGGCGCAGGCACAGCATAATATTCTAGAAAAATAATTTATACTGCCGCACAAATTATTTTCCTAGAATAGCCCCTGATATAAATATATGTTTCAAAACTCCAATTTTTTTAAAATGACTTTAATGAACAGAAATATAAATATAGAGAATATATATATATATATATATATATATATATATATATATATATATATATATATATATATATTACGTATATACATAAATATATATATATATATATATATATATATATATATATATATATATATATATATATATATATATATATATATATATATATATATATATATATATATATATATATATATATATATATATACATAGAGAGAGAGGGAGAGGGAGAGGGAGAGGGAGAGAGAGAACATGTATTTTTATACAAACAAATTTAAAAATTCCTGGGTCAATTTACTATTTTTTGAAAAATACTGAACTTAATCTTGTATTACAAATGGAAATATTCCAACAAAATGTATGTATAAAAAAATGTAACTACAATTGTACAATACATTCTTTTGCTTTCAGGTTTTTTTAAACTGCTTTAAAAGACATGCTTGGGATTTACTTTTAGAGTTCATATAAGTTGTTTGTTTTCATTTTTCAAAATCAATTTTTAAGTAGTATCTATTAGTTTTCAACAATTGCTTATTTATTTTACTGAATCTCATGTCAGATGATTAAATTTGCTTTACAACTTTACAATTACAATTTGCTTTAAAACTTTAGAAAATTTTTAGAATTTTCTTCAGGATGTCAGTTGATCTGTCACCAAGAAATCCTTGAAGTTCTCACTAAACTCGAGTTTGCTTTACCATATATTAGGTTGTTTTAAATTATACCTGAATGGTTGAATGGACAAGTTTTTTGTGAAATATTGATCTCAAAAAATGTTTGCTTTTTTAGCTGCTTAACAAAATGATCTAGAGAGGAACTTTTGAGAGTCATTCAGAGAGAGAGCTCTTCTCATTCAGACGCATTCAACAATTCATTTAACAATCCTTTTTTTTCTATTTGCAGCATACTCATGATAGATGATTAATTAGTAAGAGACAAGTCAAACTTACTAAGACAAGAATTCGTAGTATCAATTTGTACAACAGAGTTTTCAGGTGATATGTAATCTAACTTTTTCAACAGACGTGATTTTTTTTATACAACTAATACATGTGTTTTTTTCCAGGAATTAAAGCAGAATTTAGTAGGTTATGCTCCAGAGTAACATTTGTCAGGTTTTCTTTAACAATCTTTGAATGGATTGAGAGAAGGTCATGATTTATGGTATGTTGAACAGTAACAAATAGTAAATTGTAAACTATGGTGAGTACAAGATGTATGCAGACTAATATTTGTTACTCCAGTTCTCAAGTTCAGAAGGTATTTTTTATACTTATTTAGGTATTTGTATTATAAGCCTAATATTTCAGACTGACTGCAGTATGTGTATTTATGACTGCAGTATGTATACTTATGACTGCAATATCTATACTATTAACAATCTAATTTAAGTTAGTTATCAATATAACGAGTATTCATGATTTTCTTAAATTTAAAAAAAAGAATTATTAAACCTAATCTTCTTACATAACTTTAATCTGTAATAATAAATTGATTCATAAACTATAAATTTGGTCTTTTTTTACTTCATGTTGCCATTAATGGCTCAATCCACTGTCATATGTATAAAATTGATTATTAAAAATTTAATCCCTTATTAAAAAATAGAATTTAAATAAACAATGCTTCCAAATTAGAGATTCATATAACATGTCATTAAAGTCAGGTCAGGTTATCCTGCTTATGGCAACATGTAACTCAATACAACCTGCTTCATATCCTACTGCCATGTAAGATTTTAGGCAAATTTAGGCAAAGGCTACTAGAAGGCTATTTTAGGCAAAGGCTATTAGAAGCCAACTATGACTTAAAACACCTCCTGCCTTGGAGCTCTTGATTGAATAAAGGCTAGAGATGGTGTCTCGATAAAAATACTCCTCTTGGGCAGATGTTAAACGCATCCGGCTAGTGTCTTGTAGAAGGCCTCTTTAGTAAAGACTTTAGGGGTAAACAGATTCTATCTGATGAGCAGCCTTTCACTCCTTTATCTATTAGGCAGGCTTAGATGTATTTATAATACATTGTTTCCTGTTTAGGATGTTGAATGCTTAATCTTCTTGACTCAATAAATGGGTTTTGCTTGTGTCTCTGTTTTTATGACTAGCCAACTCATTCTATTATCTCCTAATGAGGGTACATCTCTAAAAATCAGTTTTATGGTTCTTAGGCCGGCTGGTAGTCAGGTCTCTAAGAGCTACCACAGAGTCCCAAACTCTGTGGTAGCTCTTACAGAGGCTGATTCTATTAACAGTTGTATAACATCAGAGTACTAACATTGCCATGTTGCACAAAGATGGTGTACCTGTTCGTATTTTTAGTGTACATTTTCTAGGTCACATTTGGAGTCCTAAGTTATGGCTGAGGGTAATTGAGGTAATTGCTTGGACTATTAAATAGTCTACTGAGTATTATTCATGTGCTGAGTCACATTCTTAAATAAACAAGTATCAAAAACTATAAAATACAAAAAATCAACATCATCACCAAGTTCTCTAAATCTTTCAACTTTCCAAACCGCTTTACTGACAATACAAACCATTTACCTTCTCTACTCAACTTATGTGTTGTTTATGATCCTAGTCAGTGTTCAGTTTCTTCACATTCACCCTTAGGTGCTTCTGATCACAGTTTGATCTCTCTAAAACTATTATCTCATTCTTCTTCATTATCAGAATCCCCCTATTATCGTATCTCTTACAACTGCTTTAAAGCTGACTGGGACTCTTTCCAAGCCTTTCCAGAAAAAGCGTGCGGTTTTTTGTCTTGTATGACCACGCGAGAGTATTTTATTTTAGAAAACTTGATTACGACCGTATGCAAGTTTTATAATATCTATAATGGCGGAAAAAGTTTTAAAAACAAAAAAAAGCAAAACTAACAAGCAAAAATAGGGAATAAAAAGAAATTTAAATAGAAAAAAATAAAAATAAATTAATAATTTAAATAATTTATGTACTGTATTTATTTTTGTTTCTTTAGAGTGGTTGTTAAATTCAGCAACAAAATTAGATAAGGCAAAGTAAAAAAAAAAAAGTTTCAAGTCTACAATAAAAAGAATGATTTTCCTTTGTTTAACTTTTTTTAAAGAGAAAAGCAAAAATATAAATTGCAATGTATTTGTAAAATATATTTATATAACAACAAGAGTCAAATTAAGCGATCACGAAATGCAAAATCTGGAAAAATATCTGGTAGACAAAATTTTACTTTATACAAAAACATGTTTTTTGTTTTCAAGAGGCGAATCAACTTTAATTTGTTAGCGAAAAAGTTGAAAAAAATAAAACAATCAAAAGTTATAAAAAATAAAACAATCAATTTATGAATACAAAAGTAATAACACTCTAGTGACTAACTGCATTATAAAAGTAATAACACTATAATAGTTTTATCACTTTTATAACGCACTTATAACTTTTATAATTCATTCTTTGTTCAAATAAAAAAAGTTCTCACAAATTTTAATCGAAGTTGAAAAGCATCTAGAAAAATATAGTGGATATCCAAATAATATTTAAAACTAAAGTAACTTATAAAAACGTAAACGTTACTTTATCAAAACATAATGTATAAAAAGTTTAGCATTATTAAAACGTTACTATTGATACGTAAAAATGTGCGTTAATTTTCAAATCAACCAATAAAAATTTTACTAGTTGAATTTAAAATTAAACATGCCTTTATACGGACAATAAGTGACGCTTTTCATAATGCTTGACTTTTTATCAAGTGCATTTTTATAAAGTTGTTTAAGTGATTTGTAAAAACTCCTCAAGCTTTTAATATTTGAACATCCGCTTTATTTTTTCTAGATCTTTCTCTACTTTAATTAAAGTTTGGAATTACAAATGTTGTCTAAACAAGGGCTGAACTTTAAAAGTTATAAGGGCTTTATAAAAGTAATAACACTATTATAGTTTTATTACTTTTATAATGCAGTTAGTGATGAGAGTATTATTACTTTTGTAATCATAAGTTTATTGTTTGTTTTGTTTTTATATTTTCCTTGCTAACAAAATTATAATAATTTGCTCCTTGAAAACAAAGTACACAGCTTTGCATAAACTAAAATTTTGAAGATCAGATATTTTTCCAGGGTTTGCAAATCGCGATTGCTAGATTCAACCCTTGATATAGGGTTGAATCTAACGATCCTATATATACTTGTTACATTAAAATTATACAAATAGATTTTACAAACAGATGACAATTTATATTTTTGGTTTCCCCTTTAAAAAAATATATATATATAGGAAAATCATTTTTTTTAATGCTTAACACATTTTTTTTTTTTTGCTTTGACTTACCGAAATTTTGTTGCCGAAAATAATAACCACTACGAAGAAACAAAAATAAAAACAGTACACAAATTATTTAAATTATTGTTTTTATTATTTTCTAAATAAGTTTATTTTAAATTCTTATTTTGTTATTTTATTTTTAAAACTTTTAGCAACGCATATAAAAAAATTGAAAACGCCCATGACCAAGTTGTCTAAAATAAAATACTAAAGTGTGGTCATACAAGACGATAAACCGCACGGCTTTCCTGGGAAGGCTTGCTTTCCATGATTTTCTTCGTAATGGTCCTTGGGTAGTAATCTTTTGTCTTCCTGCTGAAAAAATGTGCTTCTCACATAACTTCTTGGATTCAGGCTGGCATCTTTTATTCCCTCTCGACGATTCCAACTCAAGCCTCACTCTTCTCCATTGTTTTTCTCATATTGTGCTGCTGCAATTTCTAATCCAAACAATTACTTCTACATCTATCAGCAAAATAATTGTCCAGAAAATAGACGTCTGTTTACTTTGCTAAAAACCATTGTAAAAAGTTTTTGTCTAACGCCAATGCCTGCTATTCTTAGGTCATAGAACCCATATTTTATCTCAAAAATTAGGCTCTCGTGACTTCTAGAGAATCTTTAACAGTATCAATAAGGACAAGTCTGTTATTCCACCTCTCTTGTATGGTTTAGATTTTGTCACCTCATCTAAAGACAAAGCTGAAATTTTTATCAATATTATCTCTAAGAACTTTTTGTCAATATCATCTCTTGATTCCACTAGTTGCATTCTACCTGATATAACTGACAAACAGCTTGATTCATTGCTTGACATTCATATCACTCCAGCTTCTGTATCTAAAGTGATTTCCTGCTTAGACTCTTCTACAGCTTGTGGTCTGAACAACACACCTGTTATAGTCTTGCAGAAGTGTTCTTTGGAGCTGTCATCTATACTTTCAAAACTATTCAACAAGTGCTTATAGGAGTCTTGTTTTCCGGCATGCTGGAAAGCAGCATCTGTTATCCCTATTTTTAAAATAGGGATAACATCTTGTAATGTTGTCGTAAATTCTCTTTCATTTTTCTACAAACACTATAATAGGCACTGCTCTAAATAGATAGCATCTCTTTAGAGCATCTACTAAAATTTATTCTTGTATTACTCATTATTTAATTAAGTCTCATCCTTTTTCTGTGACTGTTCCTAAGTGCTCCAAAAACTCTTATTCGTCTAGTTTTTTTCCTCGAACATAAGTTCTTTAGAATTTGCTTCCTTTATCTTGCTTTTCTGATTCATATCATTTGCAATCTTTTAAGTTGTCCAGTCAAATATACACCAAATTCATTTATGTATTAATTGTTACATATACAAAAAAAAAACTTAAAACTTAAGTTAAAATTATCCCTACCATACTTGTGTTATCAAAACTAAGAATTGAAGAAAAATATATTATTCTTTGATCATCATCAGAACTGCCTGATAATCCGGATAGACCATTTATAGCAAGGATTCGTCGTTTGCACGATTCAAATGCTGTAAAGAAAAAAACTTTATAATTTTTGCAAACCAGTTTAAAAGTAAAACTTAAAAAAGATAATATAGGACCTAACCTAGGCATAAATGTACAAATCAAAATAGCGGTAATTTATATTAAATGTATATATTAAATTGAATTGGTGTAAAACATGCTCAACTGTTGTAAAACAAAAATATATTTTTTAAACTTTAGCACAACTATTTGCATGCCTATTGATTCAATTTAAGTTAATTTACAGAAAATTTATTAAACTTTTACCAAAGTAGCAAACCTCACCAAAAAAATTGCTTGGTAAAATTTCTAATTTAAACTTTTCTTCATTTGAATGATCTTGTTCTAATAAGATATAAACAATATTACTTCATATTTTTGTTTTATTAAGTTAAAATATTAAGGAATAAAATTTTATTACTGTTTTTTAAAAAATCTATAAAAGATTCTTTCTGTTTGGAGCTTGTCACAATAAGGCACGGCTTGACTTGAGAAAGTACTATAATTTAATAAATAAGTAAATCAATGAATAAAGAAAAAATAAACAAGGTTTACAAAATTTTTTAAGATAACAATTAACATTATATTCATAACAAGCTGTATATATAACAATTTTGAGATAAAAATAAACTTATATTTATAGTAAGTTACTATTAGATGGCTAATAAATAATTAACACTGAAATATTTCTAAATTCTACTATCTTAATAAATGGGAGGGTCAGAACCAAAAAAAATATTTTTTTTTAGCAAAGTAATTTTTATTTAAATGGAAAAACTTTATGTTTTTATAAAGGTTTTTTAAAATGAATTCATTTAAAACACTTTTCATTTCTTAAAATAAAAACAAAAAAGAACTTAAACTGGTTCACACATGAGTCAACTGTGATGGGGAGAGTTATGTATTAAAATGTCTATTTAATAAAAAAAAAATACTTTTTCAAAAAAAAAATTGCTAAACTATCTTACATTATTTGAAAAAATGTAAAAGATGGTTCATAATAAGACACTAATAAATGGCCTTCTTCCCCTCTTAATCATTAGGCATCTAAGAGTACAAGAAAAGTGCATTTTAAGATAATGATAAACAAAGAACAAACACATTTTAAAATTGTTAAATTTTAAAATGCGTTTACACTAACTAAACACATTTTAAAATTTTAAATTTTAAAATTATCATTTTACAAATGACTTTGTAAAATTATTTTAAAGTCAATAATTAATAATTTGAAGACCCTGAATATAAATATACAAGAGTTGTAATTATCCTAAATGTATTTACTATTTAAGTGACACCTCCTTGTCTGTGTCATTTAATTGACACCTTGTTTTTATAATGTGATGACTTGATGTCATTGTTATTTAAGTGACACCTTGTTTTCATTCTGTGATGCATGTTTCAAATGTGATTAAGATATGGGATCCTGTTACAAAGGTAAAATGTATACTATGGTGTAGTGATTTTTTTATTTTTTTTTTGAAATTGAAAATTTAAATATTTTTTTCAGATGTCTAAAGATATTTTAGGATATATTATAAATTTTTTTTTTTATAACTTTAAAATAAATTACCAAAACAAAGTTTGAAATATTTTAGAGTAATAAAATATTACCGCTTAAACACAAATATTAAATAAAAAATAAAATTCAGACTTAAAGAATGCCACGTAAAATAAATTACTTTTTACATTTAAAAACATTTTTTTGTGTAATTAAACTTTTATAATAACTGTATATAGTTTATTATTTATATATTCAAATATTAATTATACCGAAACACAATCATATAAAACAAAAAAAACCTTATACTCTGATTTTCTTAAGTCTGTAAAGTTGTCTGTTGTTAAATATGCAATGTTTAAGTCTGTAAAGTTGTCTGTTGTTAAATATGCAATGTTTAAGTCTGTAAAGTTGTCTGTTGTTAAATATGCAATGTTTAAGTCTGTAAAGTTGTCTGTTGTTAAATATGCAATGTTTAAGTCTGTAAAGTTGTCTGTTGTTAAATATGCCATGTTTAAGTCTGTAAAGTTGTCTGTTGTTAAATATACAATGTTTACTTTTAAAGTTATATTTAAGCTTTTCTTGATTTTTATGTGGAAATTTTAAAGACGTATTTTACCTAGTAGAATTATAAATAAAAACAGAGATAACAAGAAATAAGCCCAAGAATAACCATTTTAACAATTTTCCTTTTGTTTATATAAATTTGTTTGCAGGTTAAATCAAATATTAAAATAAATATTTTTTGAAACATTAAATTTTATTATTTAAATAAATGACTAAGCCTTAATCTAAAGGTTTAACAGAAATTAACTTCATAGTTTATGTATATGTTTTAAGGAATCCAATATTTTTTCAAGTTTATTTTTCTAGCTTATCAAAAATTATGAATAAAATAAAAAAGACACGAATTAATTCTTGTCCAGGCAGTAAAAAAGTTAAAGTCTTCATTGATCTTGGTGCTGACTTGTTACCCTCTGAATTGCCAACCCTCAGAATCATTTTGCAATTATTTCTGTTAAAAATGGAGAGCTTAGACGCCAATCTTCATTATGTGTCAAAAGAGATAATTTACAAAGCTGTTAAAAGTCATCTTGTAAGGTTAGCTTAATCTAATATTGTATTTTTTATTATATTTATTATTTTCCTATTATTGTATTTGCTTCAATTTGTTTTATTATAATATTATACTCTATTTAATATTACTAATGAATTTGATTTAGGTTGTTGCACAATATAAAAAAAGTAAATATCAATATTGAAATTCAGCCTAATCACTATCTAATTCAGAGAATTGAAAAAGAATGGAAAGAGTTACTTAAACTGTTTGGGTAAGAGTGAAAAATTCTATAAAAGATAAGTTACACAATAAAATTGACATGCTATTTGATATTCTTCGCTGCAAACACAATATTATGAGCAAGGAAGATCCAACTTGCTCTGACTCTAAATGTTCTCATTGTGGTATTTCTCCTATCTGTAATTGTCCTGCAAGCTTAAAAATTCCAGAAATAGAGCTAAAGTTTATCAGAGCTCAAAGAATGAAATTGGAATGTAAAGTGCTTCCCAAATACATTGTAGAGACAAAAAAGAACATACTTGTCTTACTAAACAATACAAAAGAAAAGAAAAAACAGTTGAGAGTGCTTATCAAAAGTTAGAGTTTAAAAAAATTTATGAGGAGCAGAATAAGAAAGCAGAGTTAAATATTAACCAGTTTTTGAATGAAGAAATTGATGTAGATGTTATTGAAAAAACAAGTGAATCACTTAATCAATTTATTAATGTCAAAATCGATGATAAAATAAAAGACTCTTTCATTAATACAAATCACTTTCTTCTTCTTGCTCAAACAGTTTTAAGATATGGAACAAGTAACAGATAAGCTGCTGCTATTTCTTCTGCAGTTCTTGTAGATCTTGGAATAGTTAATGAAAAAGACAATAAACTGATTATTGACCACCACAAGATTTATATGGAAAAGAAAAAAGTAATGGAAAAATTTCAGAAGGTAAAATTGCTGCTGTATAAGTTAGGAGATATAAAAGCATTATTTTTTGATGGGAAAAAAATTCTTATTAACGAACAAGATGAAACAACATTAAAATATTATTCAAAAACAATAAAGATGAAACTCTATACTTCCACTAGTGAACCAGGAGGAAAATACTCATTATATTTCTCTCCTCTTGAACATAGCCTTGAAGAAAAACTTGCATTAATGATAGCCAAACCTACAGCAGATTGGTGTAAAAAATTTGATATAGATTTACAGTATATTGGAGCAGATTCTACAGCTACTAACACCGGTAGGTTAGGTTTAAAAAGAATAGAGGATTTAGCAATTGATTGTATATTTGGTTTCCATGAAAGGTCAGCAGTAAGCGATAATCCAAGAAGACGTAAAGAGGAGGACTCAGTAAGAGGATTGCCATTCATTTATATAGGAATGTTGACCATATTATGGTAGTTGTTTGCAGTAAACAACTGGGTTTTGTTAGAGTTGAAATTAACAAGCCACTGTGAACCCTAATCTATTACTGAAGTGAGATCAGATTCAAGATCAGCTGCTTGTTCTAGTCGATCAAAAAGAGAAGACTTTTTGTCAAGACAGGAGTATAAAGTTGAGTCATCAGCAAAAAGAGCTACTTTAGATGAAAGGTTGTCAGGAAGATCGTTTATGTAGATAAGAAACAAAACAGGGCCCAGGATGGAACCTTGGGGAACCCCAGAAGTTACTGGAAATAAAGAAGAGTGTTGGCCTTCAAGAATGACTTTAATAAACTGGTTAGAAAGAAATAATTTGATAATCTCAAAAACTTTCCCAAAAACACCATATGAAGCAAGCTTATGGAGAAGACCAGCATGCCAAACTTTGTCGAAAGCTATAGATATGTCGAGAGCAATAGCCCTAGTCTCACCGTCTCCATCTAATGCACGATAAAATCTTTCAGTTACAGCAGTTAGCAAGTCGGCCGTAGAGCGAGAGGATCGAAAACTGTATTGATTGTCTGACAGTAAGTTATTGGACTTAAGATTAAATGCAAGAAATTTATTCATTTAAGACTCAAAGACCTTGCTAATAACAGAAAGAAGACTGATCGGACAATAATTGGAGGGGTCAGAATTTTCTCCAGAGTTTTTGAATATTGGAACCACAGATGCCATTTTCCAACAAGCAGGAAAACAAGACTCAGTCAAACACTTGTTAAATAGTTTAGAGAGAATTGAAGAAAGTTCTGGAGAACAAGACTGTGACAGGAATGTTGTCTGGACCACAAGCTGTAGACGAGTTTGATTGAGATATGACTTTAGCAACAGAAGCCAGAGTGATTAGAATGTCTAACAATGGGTCAACCTGTTTGACTGGAATGGAAGGAAGAGAATGTCCATAAGATTCAAGAGTGGAATTAGAAGAAAAGTTCTTTGCAAATAGTTCTGCCTTATCCTTGGGAGAGGTAATAAGATCAGTCCCATGAATGAGAGATGGAATGTTAGATCTACCCTTGTTAATAATGCTGTTGAAGATTTTCCAAAAGTCTTTAGAGCCTAACTTCTGTGATAAGATGCGAGATTTAGTGAACTGAGAATAATGGAGTTTAGCATCAGAAAGCACCTTTTTACATCGATTTCTTGCAATAATAAATAGCCGTTTGTTCTCAAGAGAGTTGTTCTTTTGAAAAAGATGAAAAAAATGATTACGATTGGATATAGCAGCCGCACAAGAAGGAGAAAACCATGGAGTAGAATGAGGCTTGACTTGAAACCGACAAGAAGGAATAAAAGCTTCCATTCCAGCCTGAATCCAGGAGATTACGTAGGAGGCGCATTTGTCAGACGAGAGAGAAAAAACATCAGCCCAAGAACCATCACGAAGAAAATCATGAAAAGAATCCCAGTCAGCTTTAGGGTAGTAGTAGGTGGTGCGATGATAAGGTTAGCCCAAAAAAGAAGTACGAGAAGAAAGATTTATAGAGATCATTGCATGGTCAGAACCACCTAAGTGAGAAAAGGGAGAAACTGAACATAAGCTAGGGTCAGAGATAAGACATAAGTCAAGGAGTGAAGGTAAATGATTAGGGTTAAAGGAAAACGAGTCACAAAGTTAGCTATCTGAGTAAGAGATTAAAAAAACGCAGAAATTAAAGGCTTTAGTGCCAGCAGAATCAGTGGTGTTAGAGCCATGCCATTCAGTGTGATGGGCATTAAAATCACCAACAACAACAATATTGGCAGAGGGGTAAAGAAAGAGGGCATGGTCAAATTGATCAGAGATAACATCTAAAAGAGTGCAATCATGGGAACAAGGAGAACGATACAACTATACCAGAATAGAAATTACCATCATCATCAGCACCAATCAAACTTCCACCATGATATTGGACAACTTTTTGTAAATACATCTTATCAATTAAAACAACACAGTCAGCACAAACACTACCATTTGCCAAAAGTATTAATCATCCTGATTCTGAATTAATGCCACCTTTTGAAAATGATTTTGAATAAAACAACAAAGGAAGTGGAAACTCTTTTAATAACAAAGTATTAGTATAATAAGTATTAGAAAAGTATTGTTTTGATGTGCATTAGAGAATATATAATTACTTTATTTGTGTAGATTGGATGTCCTTTTGGTTTATAAAGAGATAATTTATCTAATTCTGACAATATACTTTTTGATACCTTCTCTGCAACTTCATGTATATAAGAAATGAAATTAACACGAATACTGTCACTGGTCAATTTACAAACACTGCCTTTTCTAAACCATTTAGGTAATGTAACTGAATACCTTTTCATATGTCGCTTTACATGTAAGTCGTCATTAATTGTAAAACTCTCCATGTTAGGAGGAACATCACCTTCATCAAAAAAAAATTCAAAGATATAACACACGGTTATCAATTTTTTTAAATGAAAATCCTGCTAGATAAAAACTTACATTAAGATCTAATATGTTTTCAATTGTATCACGTTTTCAGAAATCATCTGTTTCAGCACTGCAAAATAAATTATTACTTATATTTAAAATACATATGTAATTTAAACCAACTAAATAATGTTAAATTGATTGATTTGTAAACTTCAAACCAATATTTTTTTGCCCACTAATTTTTTGTCTTCAAGGCAACAAGTTCCGCCAGTTATATAGGCCATGAAACAATTGCCGACCTTATTTCTATGTTTTATGGTAAGACCTTTGTATCAAATTTTTTTTGCCGACCTGATACTGACTTTTAAAAGATTGAGGTCAGCAAATTGACCTCATTTTTTTTTAATTCCTTTGAGTCAGGAAAACATGAAGATGGGAGAGAATTCAAAAGGGATGAAATGCCAGGAAAAAAAACTAGACCAATAAAAGTTTTTATAGCATGCAGGAACAGATACAGTAAAAAGATGAGACTTTGATGAATGACGAGTCATATGAGAATGAGTTTTAGTTGATGGAACTAGAGATAATAACTTCTTTGAGACAGTAACTTTACAACAATGGGAGAGCAGCTCAAACTTGCCAGATAAAGAAGCTAAACTATGTTTAGACCTTGCATAAAAGAGAAAGAGCATCATTAGAAAAATCAGGTCTAATACAACTAAAGTATTCTGTAGAGGGGCAAATAAGAAATTTGTAAAGGTAGAGAATGAAATCAGGTGTAAGAAAATGGTGAGCACAATAAAGACAAGCAATCTTAACAGATGCTAACTTAGCGATCAATTGTATGTATGGTCTCGATGAGAGGTTAGTATTGAACAATAATCCAAGAAGATATAAAGGAGAGGAATCAGTTAGAGGGTTGCTTTTCATTAATATAGGAATATAGACAGTACTGTGCTAGTTTTTTGCAGTAAATAACTAGGTTTTGTAGGAGTTAGAATTCACAAGCTACTGCAAGCCCCAATCTAAAAAAAAAACTTTTTGTCATGATAGGGGTATAAAGTTGAATCATCAGGAAAAACCCACTTTAGATAAAAAGTTGTCAGGAAGATCATTAATGTAGATAAGAATTAAAACAGAACCAAGGATAGAACGTTGAAACCAGAATTTAAAAATTATTTTATTTAAAAACTATTCTAGGTTTATTAAAACTTTGTCTATATTGAGATGTTATATTAGAAATATATTAATTTTATTATTATTATCATTATTAAATTCTTTTTTTATTTTATATAAAAAATAAAAATAAAACCTACGATTGTGAAGAAAAAGCAGGTCTTGTGTTTCAATAACATCAGGAATCATATAAATGATTGAAGTAGCTGAATTATAATAAGCTGCCCCTAACCGACTTCCAATCATTATAACAGATAAGAAAAT